GAGAGAGAATCTCAAGCAGGCTTTGCACTGTCAGCGCAGAGCCCCATGTGGGTCTCAATCCCAGGAACCTTGAGATCATGACCTGAGCCAAATCAAGCGTAGATGCTTAACCTACTGAGCCACCCAGGTGCCCCTGATTTCTTACCTTAAAAAAACAATGTAGCAGAGAAAACTTTTAGAGCAAAATCTTTGGAAATTTTTCTAATTATTTATCTTAATTTATCAACCTACTTCACAATTTTCCATTTAATAATTAAAATTCCAATTTACTAAGATTTAAAATACTAGTCTCATTCCACCATCATTATTTAACTCAGTAAAAAAAAAAAAAATCTTATAAAAGTTGCATGCCTCTATTTTTCTACCTACTTAATTGTTTTAACTCCTACCCCAAAGCATTTTGTTTTTGTGCGTTTGCTTTTGGCAAAGTAAAAAAGGTTAAACATATCACCAAAATACAAAATAGATTATTTCAAGGTGATACTTTTTAGGCTTTTAGAATTTTTATGCTTTCAAAACTTGTACTGTACAAATGAACTCCGTCATGATCCTGTTTAAAATGAGAATAGAAAAAAAAATATGGTGTAAGTTATACTAATTAGGTAATAATTTCTGCAATGTTATATCCTAGAAAATATCAAGACACTTTTGGCTAAGGCTTACTCCGTTCATCTCTTACAAAGGCAGCTAGAGAGACTAGGCCTGCTCCTCTCTATGTATACCACACATACAGAAAAACAAGCACAGCTTTCCTTCTCAGATAATAAAATTCCATTAAAATATTTGCTTCTGAGGAAGCAGTTAAAAAGAAATGACTGTGGGATATTCACATGCTCATAGGCAATTTCCATGATCACGAAAAGGATCCCTGTCTCCCTGCAAGCCTGGTAGGAAGGACCTCACAAAACTCATTTGTACTGCTCATAACTATGGGTTCTGTGGGGTTTGCAGCCTATGCTTTCCAAACAAATGAGCTTCTCCATTAGTTCCTAATGACTTTGGTTTACACAAAGAGATCTTAAACTGTCCCCAGAGTAATTATTTTGCTAAAATGCTATTAGAACATCTTTACAAATTTAGCAACAAAGGGGGCTTCATTAACAATGGAAATCATTGGGAACCAAGGCCCTTAGTAAATTCAAGTCTCACCAGTCTTGTTTTATCTTCAGTGATGAGTACAATAATCTTGTGAACTATACCTTGACTCCTTATCTGGTGGGTGGGTAAGGAAGATAGGGAGCCGATGCCGTGGGGAGAGATGCTGGAAAAACCAGAGCGGTATTCTGTGGTTAATCAGCTCTGTCCTTCCTCTTGGAAGGAGCCTTGTGAACCTTAAGCAATGCATATGCCTAGCAGCTGCTAATAGAGCCTTTTTTTTTTTTTTTTTCCTGAGAGGTTGGGAATTTGCAGCTGAAACTGAGCACTGTTTTTCAATGGACCATCAACAGGGTTTAGATTATATATGTAAACATATGTGTGTCTCGTTTTCATAGTAATCAAATTTGATACATCTGCCGTGCATGGAAGGACAGCTGCTGGCAAGCCTGAAAGTTGACCTGCAGCTTCTGGCAGAACAAACCCAAATTATGGGGTCTTTTTCTTGGTTTGCGTCTGCAGCTTCAGATACGGAACCTGCCCCTATTCTGGGCAGCTTTGCTTTTAAAGACCTCCTTTGCGAAAGACAACTTTCATTAGATTCCTTCAGGGTGATCTGTCTGTCGTTATATTCAACGCTTTATTGCTGAGTGCCCTTTTAAGGTTTTTTTTCCTCCTTGCTCTGTGTATGACCAGATTGCCATACAGCAGCTCCTTAAGTACCCCGCTAGCCTATGCCTTTATAGTCACCCAGAGGCTGCATTTTAACAAGTATCACTTCAGTGCTGGCTAACAGAATGGATACTTACGGTTGGAAATCCACTCTTGCCAACGTATTTCTCAAAGATGACTGATCAAACTGTGTTTTAAAAATTAATTAAAAAGGTTAGAGGTGACAGTGTGGCCAGTTCAACGCCGAGAGAATTATTGGTTGATTTAGAGAAAGACTAGGTTTCTTAACGTTCTTATTATAGTTAGTAAAGATGGGTATAATGTATCTACCATGATTACATGCGGTGGCAGTGATTTCTGAAGCTCTTTGCTGGTTTCTTCTGATGTTTGTGTTCCTTTTGGTTCTTTAAAAACAAAACAACCAAACAAAGTGCTTGCCTTCTAATGCCACAAAGAAAAAAATCTCCAGACAGCAAGGTTAAAATAACTTTTCTCCAAACACTCCAAATTACGTGTTGAAAGAGACAGAATGATATAGTTTTAGCTATCTGGGAACAATTAATTTTGTATGATACTTCTAGCAAATCTGAACATATGGTGTCCTGATATACAATCTTCAATATTCTGATTGGAGCCCTACTTAGCTGCTTAACAGAATAAGATTAAACTTATCTTACTGGTAGTCATTCAGGCACTTCCTCCTGTTTTCCAAATACTCCTTCAACCATAGCAGTGTTTTAACCATCAAGGTCCTAAATATTTATTTATTTTTAAAAATTTTTTTAGTGTTTATTTATTTTTGAAGAGGACAGAAGCAGAGCATGAGCAGGGAAAGAACAGAGAGGGAGGGAGACACAGATACCAAAGCAGGCTCTAGGCTCTGAGCTGTCAGCACAGAGCCTGACATGGGGCTCGAACTCACAAACTGTGAGGTCATGACCTGAGCCAAAGTTGGATGCTTAACCGACTGAGCCACCCAGGCAACCAAAGGTCCTAAATCTTTAGAAGAGATTGTTTTATCTTGCTATCCAGAGAAAAAACACTTCTTATTAGCCACATTCAAATTATAAGTGAGAAATGTAAATAATAGATCACTGAATGTGACACAAAGCAGAAATGCATTTTTAACTTTTTGTAAATATTGGAGTGATCTATCAGAGAATTCAGTTGTTAAAATGTGAGGTATACTCTGAGACTTGAAAGAACAATATTTAGTAAAAAATAGCTATGGTAAAGTAAACATGAGCATTTACAGTTTATAAATGGCCAAGACTAATTAAATTCACTCACAGTTTCCCACTGCAATATTTATTTTGAAGTCAAAGTCAAAATTAGTCTATTTTTATAGTTACTTTTATAAACGTAAGGAAAAAGAAATTTCTACTTTCTTAAAATTTACTACTTATATCTGTTTACTACCTGTATTGATAGTCTTCTGGATTCCAAAACTTGAAGAGCTCTTTGAGAAAAATAATTTTAGAGAGACTTGTCTAAGAATTTAGGACAAAGTGTTTGTTTTAATCAAATTAGTCCCTTCAACCTGGGCTTTCTTGTCATTCTTGGGTGTACCAATTATGACAGCACGATCATTGGTTGATAAGTATATTACTGTTTGTGGAAATATAAAGCATCCTCTTTGCACTGTTTTTTTAAGCATTTGTGTTCTGGTTTTTGTTTAAATATAGTGTCAAGAGTGGAAACAAAAATTGCATTCAAAACTACCATTACATAAAGTACATTATTTTATTCACTCACTTGCCAATATTTTTGAATACTGTTACTATATAATATCATTCTCTTTCAGGTAGAAACTAATTAGCAAAATCATCTTTTTAAAAATTGACTGTAGTAAAGCAACATCTCTCTTTAGTTTAAATGCTATGAAGCTTTTCATTAACAGAAAACCACCATGGGTTGCTTCTTTAGAATACCACTAAATGTTAGAGACATCGTCTACTGTACGGGAGTCTCACTATTAGATGAGGATGTCTGGGAATTCATCTGGATGAAATTCCACTCTACCACAGCAGTTTCTGAGAAGAAAATATTATTGGAAGCCTTAACTTGCAGTGATGATAGGAACTTATTAAATAGGTGGGTCAATTGATTTTCTAAATCTATTTGTGTAATAAAAGTACTCTCTATTAACCAACCTATTGTGAACTCGATTGTGTTTCCTTGAATATATTGTAGTTACTCTAAAATATACTTTCTACAGCTAAGGAAAACTGCCATGTTGACTTGACTAAAGATAGTTGAATTGAAAGATATACCTGTTTCTACCTAAACAGTAAGACAGTGTTTCATTATTAAAGGAGGTGTTTACTATAAAGATTTTTAAAACTAAGTTTAGGTCATTAAAAGAGAATTGTGATTTTCCACCTGCGAGATTTTTTCAGAATTTAATTAACAAGTTAATTAAAATATTACGAACTTGCTTTTCCCCCTTCTATAAACAGAAAGTTGTTCTATTGATAAATTGTGTTGGTAAAGTCTACACTGGCCTATTCTTTTGAAATATATGACAAATTAATGCATATAATTTTTTGAAGTTTTATAAAAATGCTTAAGTTATTGGGCTAAGAGTTTTCCTACAATTCTATCTTTAAAGGCTTCTGAATCTATCACTAAATTCTGAGGTGGTGTTGGATCAAGATGCAATTGATGTGATAATTCATGTCGCTCGAAATCCACATGGCCGAGACCTTGCCTGGAAGTTTTTTAGAGACAAATGGAAGATATTAAATACCAGGTAGAAATAAGAGTTCATTTGTACTTGAGTGAGTAAATTAGAGGTGATATATGAGACATAAAGACCCAACTTTTTGTGTTAAAACCAAGGCTTAGATAATAGAATTAGATTTTAAAATAGTCAACTAATATGGGTGTTGCCACTTCTGGGAAACTCAGAATTATTTTAACAATTCTATAGCATTATTCATGTTTTGAAGATTAAAAACTGTGATTATATATAGAAATGTGGGACTAAAAAGGTTTAGCAGTACAGTTTTTGTGGAAACTGTTAAACTGTCTAAGGTTGAAGAAATATCATAAAGCTTCTATATTCTGAATGTGTTGTGGAAAAAATGATTTATAAATCAGATACAATTATTATTTATATAACAAGAAAACTTTACTGCTGTAGAATTGTTTTAAGTTTCCTTTATTTTTTTGTTTTTTTTTATTGTTTATTTGTTTTGAGAGAGAGCAAGCGAGGGTGTGCACAAGTGGGGAAGGGGTAGAGAGAGAGGGAGAGAGAGAGAGAGAGACAGAGAGAGAGAGAATCCCAAGGAGGCTCCACACTGTTAGCACATAGTCTGATGTGGGGCTCAATCTCACCAAGCGAGAGATCATGACCTGAGCCTAATTCAAGAGTCAGAAGCTTAATTGACAGGCGCCCCTGTTTGAGTTTCCTTTAAATATAAATACCATAAACACCTGAAATGAAACCATGATTTGAATCATTGTATAGTTCTAGGTGCAGTAGAATTCATTCCTGAGACATCTTGTTTCATGGTGAGAATTCTTCAGCCTCAATTTAAGAAAATATTTCATTATGTATTTAAATATATTGTAATGAATGTTGATTTATTACTCTGACAATCTGTATGGCATTTTAAAATTAAATTTATTAAAGGGCATGTAGATGCCACATGTTTTCAAACTTAAATGTCCTCATACAGTAAGCAGACCTATTGTTTTCTATCTCTTAAAAATTGGTGTGTAAACTTTGTTTTTAACAAACAACTTTATCAGTTGCCCTTGTATAAATAGTTCAATTTGAATGAATGTATCCTATTAAAACACATTTTTATCTACGGATATTTCATTGTCAGGAAGCACTAATATTCCTAGAAGACACACTGACTTTTTTGTATTTGCAGCTCAGAAATTGGAATGATTGGAAGATTAGAACTTGCTTTGCTGTCATGCATATAATGTAGTGAATAATCAGACAGAAAGCGAAATTAGTATATACAAGCAGTTCACTTTAAGGAGTATCAAATATCTGCCAATACACAATTTCTTTAGGGAGTGGTTTTGTATATCAGAGTTCAGCATAGTAGATGTATAGTTTAGTCCCTACCAAAAAACATTTGGTTCTTGATATGTTATTTTGTCTCACTGAGAGTCCCTGATCTCTAACTTAAAGATAGAAAGTTTGAGATTTCAACATACCTACAGATATGGAAGTGTTGAAAAACAGGATTTTCTTCATCCCTACTCTTCTATCGATCCTAGAACACTGGAATTCATGGAGGCACTGTCCAAGATGCTCCTTATTTCCTGCGCTAAAGATTCTCCCTGGCTTTTGTTGCCATCTACTCTAATGGTTTCAGTCACTCCCAAATCTATATCTCTTACTGAGACATTTCACCTAAGCTTCACCCTATGATAAGACAGTTGTCTGTTTGGACCTGCTGCTGAGGTGTACCTGCAAAGCTAAACCCATCATTTTCCTCCTGTCTTCATTTCCTCAGTAAATAATCCACCAATTAATCAAGCCAGACACTTGGAAAACTACGTATACTCCCCACTTTTCCTTGCCATCTGTAACAATTAGGCTTAAGATATTGTCATTTTAACAAGTCCTAAAAGATAACTTGTGATAGGTATCCTTAGCACAACAGAGATCAGTAAAATGAGAAACCCTTCCAACACACTGACACAAATTGTTCCTTTCTATAGGTCAAGAGTCAGGAATTTATATCTGTGGCACAAGGATTATGCAATCCAAATAAACAACTCAATTTTTTAATTTAATGCCTACATGAAAAAAATGCTAATATTTTGGGAGCATTTCAAAGAAATTTGGCTCAGTTTCTAAGCATGAAAAAGGAGAATGTCAATGTCAGTTGTAACTGACCAGACCAAAGGATCTGTGTGACATACTAATACTGCCCAAGTTTATCTTACAGTCCCATTTCCTTTTTTGGGATTTTTGTTTCCTTATAGTAAACTAGGTTACTTTAAGTTGAAAGTTTTAAAAAATTTCTTCCTTAGTCCTTAGATTGAAAATATAATAATAATTACTAAATCTAATTTTAAGTTCTTTTTTTTTTTTGTTTTTGTTTTTGTTTACTACAATTTGGACCTCTCTAAAACACTTTGAGCCAAATCAGATGAGCATCTGATTAAGCATCTGATGGTGCCCCACAGCCATATCTCTATTCACCTCCCTGGCTAGCCAGAGAAATGACTTTGAAATGTTTAGAGATCTTAATGGCAATAAGATAACATTAGTCAAATGGAGCCCTTGAAAAGTATTCTAAAAAAATCTTTAGAGTAATATTTCTTAAAGTACTGCCTATATTAACATAAAGCCTTTTTTTTTTTTCATCTTTCCAGGTATGGGGAGGCATTATTTATGAATTCTAAACTCATTAGTGGAGTTACAGAATTTCTTAATACTGAAAGTGAACTCAAAGAGGTAAATATTTTAATATGAGTTCTAATGCTTTTCTTTTATAAACATATGAAGGCATACATTTACTTTATTTTTTCAACAGATTCATATCCATTTCTTTAAAACACACACACACACACATTCATGCTAGAGACTTTACTCAATTCATTATTTGCAAATGTATTTCTATTATATTAAACATTAAATGCCTTCGAGAAATGTTTAAATATAATGTTTCCCAAACTGGGGGACTCTACTCCAGAAATCTTTGATCCAATCAGTTGAGGAACAACCCGGTTTAGAAATAACAAAACTATCCTGTCACAATGACTCAGTATTTAGATACAAAGGATCAAGGCTGGTGTTAAGGTACAGAACTTGGGTCTCACTGCTTTGTGGACAGGCCTATACAGGAAGTAGATAACTGGATGTGATAATAATGCTTCATGCTATCTAGTCTGTTCAATAAAATGAATTCATATGTGTGACAGAGAATGTGTCTGACAATATATCTTGAGATTAATAGCTTAAAATTCTGCTTGATATGATTACACATGAATTTCACTGATGAAAATAAACAATTTTTTAAAGGATTAGTGTCCAGTTTGGAGTGTATCTAATGTTTCCTTCCTTTTTTATCTGGTTTATTTCTATGGAAATTTAAATCAGCTATTTTTTTTTTTTGACCATTAACTCACATTTGTAACACAGAGGGGTGGAAAATGGGGAGGAATAAATATGTAGGAGGGAGGAAAAAATATAGATACTTTGAAATGATTCAGATGAGCTGGGCTTCGACCATTTATCACTTTTTCGTCCATTGCGCAACTCCGTTGTAAAATATAGCTGAGATTTGGCATTGAGAATCATAGCTTCCTCAGCTCTCACTGACAGAACGCCTGAGGCTATGACCCAGAGATAATCATATTGAGCAGCATTTCCCCAGAAGCATCAACCCTGGCACCATCCGTAACATCTTCTAATATCGCCCAATGTTGGGGCGCCTGGGTGGCGCAGTCGGTTGAGCGCCCGACTTCAGCCAGGTCACGATCTCGCGGTCCGTGAGTTCGAGCCCCGCGTCGGGCTCTGGGCTGATGGCTCAGAGCCTGGAGCCTGTTTCCAATTCTGTGTCTCCCTCTCTCTCTGCCCCTCCCCCGTTCATGCTCTGTCTCTCTCTGTCCCAAAAATAAATAAACGTTGAAAAAAAAAAAAAAAATTAAAAAAAAATTAAAAAAAAAAAAAATTAATATCGCCCAATGTTGTACGATTGTCCCCTATTCACTCACTTGGATCCCTGCAACACTAGGAGCTAAGCTAAGTCTCTGATTGTAATGATTTGAAATTCAATTTTTATCCCTGCTATGTGTTCCCAACCCTAAAGGATTTGGTTTTGAAAGCCGTAGCACATGTTTTACTATATTTTTTTTTTTAATAAAGGAAGCTAAATGGGAAGGACTTCTTTCATACCCATATGAAACAGAAAGAAAGAACGATTGAATGAATGATTGCTTCCAATTTTCTCTGTATTCAAAGGAAGTACTTTTAATTCCTTGATTTTATATTCAATAATTGGTGAGTGAAAGATTCATTTACTCACAACCTGAGAATTGGAACACAGAAGTGAAAAATCTCTTCCACCTTTTCCTTCCCCTAGTCCTTCTCTCTTTTTGCTCCCTTCCTTCTCCTGTCTTCTCTCCTGTCTTTGACTTTGCCCCTTTCTTGCAGTCTTTCACCTGTTCCCTCTCCCACTTCTTCCTCAAACTGTCTTTCATACTTCCCTTGCTTCAGTAATACCCAGGCCATGAAAAAATATCTTTTTTTTAAGCTTATTTATTTATTTTGAGAGAGAGAGAGAGAGAGAGAGAGAGCAGGATAAGGGCAGAGAGAGAGAGAGAGAGAGAGAGAGAGAGAGAGAATCCCAAGCAGGCTCCATGCTGTTAGCACAGAGCCTGACACAAAGCTTGAACCCACAAACCATAAGATCATGACCTGAGCCAAAAATCAAGGGTCAGTCACTTAACCCACTGAGCCACCCAAGTACTCTGAGAAAACATCTTTTAAATGGATATTAATTTGGGGCTCCTGGGTGGCTCAGTTGTTTGGGCATCTGACTTCGGCTCAGGTCATGATCTCATGGTTTGGGATTATGAGCCCCGCATCAGGCTCTGTGCTGACAGCTCAGAGCCTGGAACCTGCTTCAGATTCTGTGTCTCCCTCTCTCTCTGCCCCTCCCCCACTCATGTGCTCACTCTCTCTCTCTCTCTCTCTCTCTCTCTCTCTCAAAAATAAAAAAACATTAAAAATTTAATAAAAAATAAATGGATATTAATTTGATGTTATCATATGCCGACCACTTTGTTTTATTTATTTCACACATGGATTTCATATTTTTCCACTTGATTTAATTGCTATTTGAAATGTCCCAAGATACCCCTATAATGAAATGTGCAGTTTCAAAACTGAAACTAAATTGTGGCTTTTATTCCATTATCCAGCAAGCAGCTAACTTCACAATACTGTCCATGGCATAAGCAACGAATCCCTTCACCATCTAGATACTTGTGCTGACTTTCTAGTTGGACAACTGCTGCCTGAGGCTTTTCCAGAGTTTCATTATCTAATCATTGTGTTTAAGATTGGGGACCACTGTTGTTGAGTGGTATGGGGGTTTACTTTGTATTGTTAATAACCCCCTTTCATTAAAATAAAAGGGGTTAGGAAATTCCAGACTCATCCTGTCATAACCAATGAGCTTCAGAAACAGAAAACCCAATATGCTCCCTTTGGATAGGGTATATTCTTATTTTCAAGAGTATCTAGATCAAAAGGGAATCAGCATCTTTATGAATTCTGAAAACTCAGTTGAGATTTTAATGATCCCCATCAGCCTTAGGGGCAGTCGGTAAAGAAATGTGTATTGTTCCGAACTCCCTTCCCCAAAACTGCATTCTCGTACCTGACACTGGCAATTTCCTTCTAATTACATGGCTCCAGCAATTTGAACAATATTTCTCCATGAAACAGTGTGTTATTTGCTTAATTTTAAACTAATGGAAGTACAACCTGAGGGAGCCACGGAGGCCCTTGACAGTTTTTCTTTTTTAAAAAATTTTTTTTTTTTTTCAACGTTTATTTATCTTTGGGACAGAGAGAGACAGAGCATGAACGGGGGAGAGGCAGAGAGAGAGGGAGACATAGAATCGGAAACAGGCTCCAGGCTCTGAGCCATCAGCCCAGAGCCCGACGCGGGGCTCGAACTCACGGACCGCGAGATCGTGACCTGGTTGAAGTCGGACGCTTAACCGACTGCGCCACTCAGGCGCCCCGACAGTTTTTCATACTAATGTCTGTTAAGCAATTCTCTCCAGCACTCGTTTTTCTGCCTTTTTGAACCTAATCTACAACACGGCTGGGGAAGAACATAGATCCTGTGCATCACAGACACCCCACTTACAGTTTTAATGTTGAAAATATGAACCTCATAATAGGGCAATAGCTACTTCAATTCATTTATATAGTCACTGAGAGTATATTATGTTGTGTAATTTACTCTCCAAATAATTTATTTCGTGATGCTTAGGGTCTAGGTTACCCTAAAATAAGAGTTTTTTTTAATATTAAAATGTTTTCTAATAGAGAAATTAACAAACATGTCTAGAAATTTTAGGCTAAGAACGGGAAGCACAAACAACGCTGACATCTTACTAAATGCTATTTTATAAAAATGTCTAAACTTGCAACATTTTCAAATAAAAGCACAAGATGGCATAAATATTTAGGAAACACAACAATAAAAGCTAATACCAGCAGAAAATCTACCAAAGAGCTGCAGAAAGAAGCAAACTGGAATGCCAAGTGCCTTCCATCTACCTCAGGCCCTATAAAGTCAGGCAGGAGTCTGGAAGGTGCTATCATCACACCCCAGGTCCGGTTAGATGGCTGTTCTCACCATGCGTTTGTCAGAAAGGCTGTGGAAGAACATGAGTATAAGATCAATTTATGCCAGCTATGGAGAGTTGGGCCTTATGTGTTCTGATGAATAAGCTACTCCTAAGATTCAGATGAGTTACCTCAGGCTCTCTGAGCTCGTGAAGGAAGTTATTTAGTGCACTTAAATAGTGATTTAGGAAATGAATCCCTGGGGACCCACCACTTAACATTTTTTTATTGATAGTTCTTTTGCAGGGTAATCTGACCTACTCTTTGTGTCAATAACTCATTCATATTCAAACCCATAGTTTGTCTTTGAGGAGGACTTAAGAGTTTTACTTCATGTGTTCAGACTGTCTTGCCGTCTATTTCATCAAGGGGCCAAGAGAGCATGTTCCACAGAATCAAAGTTGCCAAAGGGTCATTTACCATTATCTGGCATATTTAGTACTGCCTAGGAAAGTATGTAATAGCACAGAATGTATTTCAAGAGGAGTAGATATAATTTTTTTCCTGATTGACATATACTACGTAAATAATACCACTGTAATATACATATGTAATATGCATGGCAATATACATATTTTTATAATAAAATATAATTCAAAACAGACCATGATGTATTATTTGTTGCTTTAGAAATATGGACTGAATTAGTCCAAACATATCAATACAAATGAATTATTGGATTAATCAGTTAAAGTTTAAAAATATGATTCAAACGTTTCTATTCAACTTCCTTTGAAGATATGTGTGAGCATGTTACAGGCATATATATATATATATATATATATATTGAAGATATTCAATGAATTCCAATGTCTTCCCTTCTTCTGCTTAGTATGTGTAAATTTGGTAAAATGTCAAATCAGTTTTAAGGGTAGCATTAACAAATCTTTGTTATATGTTGGATATTTTACATGTTGGTTATAAAAGCATAGTGATTGTGAAGTCTTATAAAGGACATAGCTCTGAGATATGACTACCTACTGCTAATGCTGCAGGGGCACAAGGCTTTGTAGGAAAGTAGAGGATAAACTTTGAGAAAACCCATCGTATCATGTAATCAAAGTAATGCTGTCATAAACAAACCAAACTACCAGTGAACCAATTTCTAGATTAACTCAGAAAGATATTAAAAAGTCCATTTTAATTGCATCCTCCCCACCCCATATCTCCCTGTCCCTGAGTCAATCTTGATGCACTACATTTCCCTCCTGGCATATCTTCCATGTGGCACCCACCATGTGATGAATCACACCCCACACTAATTACACCACATAATGTTTCTGTGCTGCAAGTTGATTTTTCACATTCGCCTATTAGCATTGCGATTGTTGGTTGGTTGCCAGTTTTTTAAGATATATCAAACAGAAAGAAAAACTGCTAGTATTTAATCTTGAAATAAAATCCCTAAACATCCCCAGAATATGTGAACTCTCTAGAGAAAATCTTTCCATAAAAAGAATAACAATGCATTTCAAAATTATAACATTTTAATTAAATGCTCGACATCTCTAGCTAAATGAGTCTGCATTCTTGCTTCATTCCCTCTAAGTTGAGTTACTCAGGTGATTGCAATGTCATTAACCATCCAGTTTTCATATAGCATCATTAGTTTTTTCCACTAGCTGATAACTGGTAATCCCTTGCCACCAAAGATAATGTCAAGCCTTTATACTGTTTATTTGGGGAAGATAAGGACTAGTTTTATCTCTACCAACAAAGAGTGAACTTTAACCCTCATATTCAGTTTTTAAGGCTATTTTGTACCTTGGATATGATTCATAATTAAAACTAGCCTTTGCCACAATCCCCTCAACATATATGAAAATATAAACACATCTCTTTTAATATTTGTCTATGAAACAAGAAGCTGAATTCGGAGCTCTTTGAGCTGTAATGTCCACTCTTTTTTCCTTCCAGTTCCAAAAGAAACTACCTCACACCTAATGGATGCAATTTCTTATATTTCATTTTGTTAGTAAGATTGCTTCACATATTAGATAGGCCTTCAGTAGGGGTGGTGGCACTTTGTTCCACATACAATCTTGTTTATATATGTTGGCCATGAGTTTCTCTGAGACATGTATTTTTACCTCTCTAAAATGTGTCTTTTCAGCTGAAGAACTTCATGAAGAATTATGACGGAGTAGCTGCTGCCTCTTTCTTGAGAGCTGTGGAGACCGTTGAAGCCAATGTGCGCTGGAAAATGCTCTATCAGGATGAGCTCTTCCAGTGGTTGGGAAAAGCTCTGAGACACTAATAGCTCTATTATAAACAATTCAACTCAGAATTTTGGGAGAAAACTGCTTTATATGGAATGAGGAAAATGTGCTATGTGGAAAATGGCCAGATTTTCGGTGTTAACGTGTGGGAGGACTTTTTTTTTTTTTATTTTTGGTTTTGGGGGATTTTTTGTTTGTTTCATTCATTCTGTTTTGTTTCTCTACTGGGTGTTCTTCTCTAAAGAAACTCTTGCAAGTGAAACTAGCCATGATTGCTTCAGCTGTACATTCCTTGCTGTACAGGACCAAATATGATAGTGGTGCATGTTGATGTTACAGTCAGTTTGGAAAAACATATTCAGAATATTTTGTGCATGGTTGTGTGGTCCTGCCTGTGTTCAGCATGCTTATTTAAAATGTCCAATGTTGTACGTGAATATCTGTTACATCCAGGATGGGCATTATACAAAAGCACAAAGATTACCTATGACAATCAGTGTTGCGATGAAAGAAAAACTAAAAAGGAATTATATTCTTAGTCCTGGGCGATGTGAGAGGTAAAACAGCCCTTGAAGTGATCAGTGTCACTTATTTCAGCACTTGGATTGTCTTGCAATGATTCCTGTGTTACTAACTCATTTTCTTCGAGTTAAAGCTGTGTATACGTTTAAAAAGGCATATAGATAGTGTATGCATATGTATATGTACATAGGGAAACCCTGTATGTATATAGTATGTTGCACACTGCACTTGTGCAAAGGATCTCTTCAAAGAAACTTTATCTCTTTTTATAAACTTATGCAAACTTTGAAAAAGCTTAAAGGAATTTATCTCAACGCTATTCTTCATGACAATTTCCTGACTAAATTTCTCAACTGTTACAGATTTTTTCATCTACTTCCTGAACAGTGGTCTATTCTACTACGTGAAAATGAATTCAAACAAAATTTATGTATAAACACTCTTCTAATTCTCTAAAGTGGCAGCCTCGTATCCTAAATATGGATTCTGTCATCATTTCGGTCAAACTTCCCATTGCATCAAACAATTGTGCACACTTAAGAATTCTCAGCGCTGAGAAGGTGTTTCTTTTCCATCTTGTTTGTTTTTCCATCTCACGTTGGGTGGTCCAGAGGGTTGAAAATTCTCTCTTGTGTGTTGGTCTTTGTGTCTGTGTCGATCTAATCCTCCATTAAGTGACCGTACCTCAAGTACGTCTGATACCATTTAATGACCTTTGATGCCAGTTGTGCGTCCGTTCCGATGAAAGTTACTTTTCTTGAGGAAAGCTCTTCCTTTGGCATTGACAGCTGTCTTCCGCCAGGGAATTTTAAGTAGCCCTTCCCATGGCTGTGTGTTATGTAACACAAGTGCTTATTTTACATGGCATTCTCACCCAGTAGGCCAGCTCGCCAAACATTGCTTAGATGCTCCAAAATGAACATATTTTAAGTTTGCCGTTATAAAATACCAGCACAACTACTGGACCAAAGCTAAAAGTATGTGGACCGCTTTCTATTTTCCTGAGGTTCTCCACTCTTCCACGTCTCCTTGCAAATTATTGAGAAAGATCTATTCTAACCGTCACTGAACACTGGGAAAAAAATATAGGTGTTTTAAAACCAGAGTCATAGATTTATTTTGAGTTTAATAAAAAGTAGCAATTTCCAAATCCATTGAACAAGTATCACCTAAAATTGAATTTTATCTTTTTTGCAATTAATATCTATTACTCATACCTAAATTTTTCAGCACTTCATTCAATTAAAACGTCTGAATTTTAAATACACTATGTGGATTTAGTGAGACATAGTAATACTTAGCATTAAATCTAAAAGTCGTCCCACCTATCAGAAGTCATGTAATTTAACTAGTACTTACACATATGTAAACTCCATAAGAGACAAGTTCTGGACATAACAACAATAAATATCACACTGCCGTAAGGGTCCAAAACATGTACTGTATGAGCATTGGATTCATGTAATAGAGATAAATAGATAAAAAATTAGAGGTGGATGTCTTATTTTGTGTCATGAATTACTGAAAATTCTTAGTTGTGACATTCTTTTGAGCGAAATCATATTTCCAGATTTGAGTTAGAAAGGCTTTTATAGTTCTTTTTCCTCCCCACTGTTAATAATCTCAATCCTCTTTCAGTATTTTAGTGGCCTTGAACAACTGGTTTAGCTACAATGTCAAATCCTAAATGTGTAAATTATGTGCAATGTTCAATACCTCATAGAATGTTTGTTAAACGGTATAATAGTATCAATGGCATTGAGATGGGATTTCTGTTCTACATATTTTTCAATAATTTGTCCTTTCCAATGTTGAAGATTATATCAGGCTTTAACGTTTTTTAGTTGTTTAAATAAGTAATATTTTCAAAATAATAAAATGACCAATGATATCTCTTGGAATATTCTGTAAAATGTAGTTATAAAATTCTATTTTCTACATAGAGTTTTTATCTTTTTTCTCTTCTTTGTATGCTTTACAAATCCTATATATGCACGAAATAACAAATTGTTGAAAGTGTTCAGTACTTAGGCTTACCACATTACTGTGCCAATATATGTACCACAGCAAAATTTGGTTCCAATTAGACAGGACTAAATTATTTACCATACTGAATATTAAATATCACTAAGTAACTTGTAAATAAAAACTGTTCCCCATTTTTACACATTTTTCCTTAAGATTTTCTTAAAATCTTTAAGATGAAAAAAAAAAGTAGAGAAGCACAACCTCTAAGGTTACTCTCTACAATTGTAGGCTTATTCCTGAGTTTCAATAACCAGATTTTAACTGCAGTTTAAACTGACTTTGGTTTATATTATCTCTAAGATAATTTATATTATAGGACTGGGCTTTTTGTGTCAGTACTGTTTACAAATATAACTTTAATATCTTACAAGCTTATTCAGATTAGAATGTATTTATAAATTGAATTTCATTTTCAAAGAGCTTTACACATGCTGTTTAATTTGGCTCCTTTCAAAAACATAATAACTTATGTTAGCCCTGATAGTCTGATGAGAAAACTGAGGTTCAGAGTAGAAATGTGAACCATTTAAAATGATACAGTTGTTATTCGGGGAACAGGCACAGTAGCCTTGGGCTTTCAGTGAAACCTTCCTACCACTAAACTAGAAAGGCATTTTTGAAATACTTCTATCCGTTGCATTAGCTGGAGATTTTCCTAATACCAGAAGCAGCATTAAAATATGTGACGAAATATGTCTACAGTAATTATATTATTTTTCAAAGTCTGTGTTTCTAATTTGCATGATTCAAACAACTGGGTGAAATGTTCATCAGCAATTCACTTTAGTCCATACAAGCAGCCCAATATTGTTACAAAAATATAGTTCATTGATTATAGTTTCCTTTTATTATCTTTCAGTGACTACTGTTTAAATATGACTTTAAAATGGTGATAATTTGCTTTATTTTTACACATATTTCTCTGAAAGGCTCTATCTGTAGTAACAGATGGTCAGACCACAGATAAAATGGTTTCCATCTAAATCAGTGAAAATAATATTCGGTAAAATGTTTATAAATCTATGCAGACTAAATTGTGAAAAAACAGTGTTTGTGCCACTGCAGTCCTGGATTAGATGCAGAAAAGGAATTCCTAAAGAAGTTTACAATGATATATTTAATTAAAATCTACTGGCTATTACAATTTTAAGGATTTTTTTTCTAAGAAATTGAAGACCTAAAATACCTCCATTATTCTCAGGATGACCATGAGGTAACCACATATACATGTTAAAGGAGTAGTAAAAGTTTATAGAATGAGAAATTAAGATTCCTACACCTGTTTTGTTTTCTTTTTTTACTTGAGGTCATGGCCGGGTTGTTATCATTTGACACTGCTAATTATATAGGACAAAATTCAATTTAATTAAATATTTATTGAACACATTTTATTTCACAAAGCACTTTGTGAAGGGAAAGGAGGGAAGAGCAGAATTCACATTACAATAAATGAAACAAACATAAATCATGAACCAATCAGAATAAGAGCAAACATGGAACATACTTACATTCTATCGAAGAAAAACTAAATTATTTTTAGATATAGATAATGCAAGTATTTTTGTACACTAGTTTTCAAAACTTTTAGGGTACTTCTCAATGTTTGGTTTCACAGCACTTAGTTGTGTTTTACAGAAAATGTGTAATGTTTAGAAAATATAATAACACTACATGGTTTAAACTTTATAATTAGGATATAAATTGGGATAGAATTTATCTTTAAGAAAAGTTATTTGAGCAATTTAATAATATCAGTAGGTTACAGGAAGAATGTTTACCCTAGAAAAGTAGTTCAAGTTTTTAAAAATGCTTTTAGCATACTATTGGTATATTCACAATGTGTTAATTTTAAGTTAATCATATATTCTTGAAAGCAGGTTCAACAATTCTTATCAGAGGCAATAATATATTTGTTCAAATTCCTATGTGGGAACTTTTGAGTACAGAAATGTTCTTATAAAATATTCTAGAATTTTAAATTTTAGTTTAATAAGAGTAACCTTTAGTTCTATTGCTTTGAAGTAATAAGGAATTTTTATTAAAATATTTCATTTATTGTAGTTTCTATTCAGGAAAATACTAACAAAAGGGAACTCCAGAGGCTTTTGTTTTCAATTTTATTTTATAAAATTTTATTTCAAAGTTTAAAAAATTTTAAAGAGTCTTAAGTATTAAGAATAAGCAGTTGGTGAAAATATGTTCTAATTTTAAGTATACTGCATATGTGTAAATATATGCATTTTGTTTTATTTTTTATTTATTTATTCATTTATTTATTTATTTATTTATTTTTAGAAGGGGAGGGGAGAGGAGCATAGGGAGAGAGAGAATCTCAAGCAGGCTTCACGCTCAGGACAGAGCCCAACACAGGGCTTGATTCCACAACCATGGGACCACAACCTGAGCCGAAACAAGATTCAGATGCTCAACTGGCTGAGCCACTCAAGCACCCCTGCATTTTATTTTTAAAATAAGTTTTTCACAAATG